TCTTGTGAAAATATTTACCCATGTTTTTCTTCAAGTACTTTTTATGGTTTTGTTTTTAAATTTAGATCTTTGCTTCATCTGGAATGCATTTTGGTTTAAACCAGCTGAAAAGGGAGGGAATCAGTTGTGGAATTTATTGGAGTTGTGATTTTACATTCGTTTTTGTTGTTATTAATGACTTTCTTCTTTCCCTTGACTGGGAGATTCTTGAGGGTGATGGAGTGTGCAGTTTTTTCCCTTGTTCTTATTTTCAGTATCTAGCCCCATGCTTGCCAGTGATAGGCCCTCCACTTATTCAATGAGTGAATCTATCTTTTTCTCCCTGAGATGTCTAGTTTGAGGGTGGCAGAGGATGAGATTATTTGATAGCATCACTGACTCAGTGGACATAAATTGGAGCAAACTCCAGGAGATAGTGAAGGACAGGGAAGCCTGGCATACTGCAGTCCATGGGGCTGTAGAGTCGGTCATGACTTTGCGACTGAACAAGTAGTTTGTTGTTCCAATGCAGTTTATTAAGTAATCTGTCTTTTCCCTTTTGATTTAAAAAGCTACTTTGTCCACAAAATCTCCAGATACTTCAGTTTATTTCCGAACTCTTAATTGTTTGATTGTGCTGTCTTTACTTTCTTTGATACTGTATATTTTTAATTATTATAGCTTTGTAGTACTTAAAGTACATTTGGAAAGCCAATGTTGCGCATTCTTAAATATAATACCAGTTTGGGAAACCTTGTAATCTCCTTTAGTAAAACTCCTTGCTATCCTGTAGAAAACATTCATTTAACTTATTAAACATTTAATGCGTTCTGAGAGCCTGCAAAGTAGAGATGATTTGGGAGTATTACTTGCTAAAGAGCTTTTCCTAGGATATGACATACTTATTATGTCAAGTTCTGACATGACATACTTATTATGTCAAGTTCTGACTTGACATACTAAGTGTCTTTAAAAAAAAACAGCTCTCATTTTTATAATCTCGGATATCTCTAGAAAAGCATAGCATTTTCCTCACAATCTTTTAATGCAGAAAACACAGAGAGATGGTAGGTGGTAGAAAAGGCATCAAGAAATGCGGGCACCCAGCCGAAGTCAAAGCAGATGGTGAAAAAATACTACCTAAAAGTGCTGTAATGGAATTCAGTGTAGTGACCTCGGTGTCTCACCTGTACTTGACTTGTTTACCTCCTGTGACTTGCAATAATGGATCGATTCAAAGGATGTGACTTGGGTGAAGTCCAGGTAGCATGGCTGCGTACCCTCTTCTCTGGTAACATTAAAAATTCTCATAGTCTGATATTAGCATTGGGATTTTCTGTCATGTCTGTCTCATGCAGGAACCAACTTTAGGATCTTGTGAGTATTAAAGAAGTTTAAAGCAGAGAAACTTGAAGTCTGGTGAATGGAGCTGATGGAGCAGGGCATACTTATTGTATGGAACATTATTCTAGAGTGCTTCAATGAAACTCTTAATTTTAAATAACTGCTCATTTATTAGTATATTTTCAGTGATTACTCATTTTGTTTTTTAAAAATAAAAAACTGTTTTGTCCATTTCTCTCAGACTTTTTCTTAATAAGCCTATCCATGGGCTTCAGTAGGATTAAAGTAGAAAAATACTCAAATAGGTTTGTTTGAGGCCCTTAGTCTCCACCCTGAAATAAAAGGGGTTTTGTGTGGCAGGACTAGCTGATATGTGTGATTCTTCCTTTTGTAAGTTTTCTCTTGGTGGAAAGTGAGCTTGCTTTTCTTTTAGTTTTATTCCTCATTTTTATCAACGCTGGTCATAACTGAGAGATTTTTAGGCTGTTAACTGTCCCAGCACACCAATAAGCACCTTGTTAGCAGAAGGCAATGGCACCCCACTCCAGTACTCTTGCCTGGGAAATCCCGTGGATGGAGGAGCCTGGGAGGCTGCAGTCCATGGCAGCGAAGAGTTGGACACGACTGAGCGACTTCACTTCGCTTAGTAGATGTTACTCATCATGACTAGTTACTCCTGAGATTTAACTGTGCTTGGAAAACACCTGTCTGTGTTTGAGCTTTACTAGGTGGTTGGCTTTTGTGTTTAACTGAAGATTTGCTCCTGAGAAAGCAGATAACTGTTGGAAAGAGAAGGGAGAAGAAGTCGGCACATTTCTATATGCTTTCATTGAAGAGATATCCTAATTAGAATGCTTTTGGAGGCTTCACCTTTTTGGACTAAAGCAATCCAGCATTTCATTCTGTACTGCATTGAGGTTTTGGATCTCCATGCCAGAAAGTGAGAATGAGGGTTGAATGTGAAAGGAATCTGCAAAGGATGAAGCTCATATTCAGTGGTGTGCTTTTCATATTCTAGGTTCAAGAATACCCCGCATGCCACAGGACGGCGAGAACGGAGGCAGTATCTGCCACTGTTTGGAGCAGTGTTTCAGCTCCTGGGATGTCATTCCTGATTAAAGTCATATTTAAGGCAGTATTGTTTATATTTTACATTTGGGAGGATGTTGCCTCAGTACATTTCATTTATCCTCCTGGAAGAGTTATTTTGCACGGTTTGGAGGGAGTGTTTTTCTGCTAGATTAGAGGAAATGAACAGAATTCACTCTTCCCTAAGTCAGGGGATGATCTGCAGTAGAGTTGTTTAACCATGGAGACTCAAATGAATGACTTACTTGGATCCTGTGGTGAACCTGGAGTAATTAAAAGAACTCAGTCTTTGGTTCAGTAAAGTTGGCATTGGAATGATTCCTGACCAGACTTGAAGGTGGAAAATGTTATGGTTCAGAGGGCCCTTCTAAGACTTTGCAGTAGATCCCTTAAGACAATAAATTTTATAAATAGCATTGAGTGTGGAAGTGTAGCATATGGACACACAATGCCGAAGTCAGGAAGTTTGACTGGAAGGAATAAATTAACTCTGGTCACTTGAAGGAATGAGATCATGGAAGGATATGTAGTTTGTTTTAGATGGTGGTAATTGTGATGTTGAGACTGGCCCTGGAAATGAGTTGTCAGATATGCTGTCATCCTCACTAATGGTCATATTATTTCTTAGGCTTATAGTTGTATGAAGAGATGGTTTTCCTACCGCATCCAGAGGCTAGGGGTTCAAAAATTTAAAAGCTACAAAAGAGAGAAATACACAGAAAAGTTTTTTTCCTGTACATACTCCATGGCTATCTGGATCCAGATACAGTCAGTATTATCAGTGTCTTAGATTGCTTGTTTAGTTGCTAAGTTGTCTGACTCTTTTGCAGTGCCATGGACTGTAGCTTGCCAGGCTTCTCTGTCCTTGGGATTTCCCATGCAAGATTCTGGAATGGGTTGCTATTTCCTTCCCTGGGGGATCTTCCCGATCGAGGGATCCAACCCGCGTCTCCTGCATTGCCAGGCAGATTCTTTACCACTGGGCCATCAGGGAAGCCCAAGGAAGTGTCTTATCTATATTGTGATATTTTATGTGTTTACAAGTAAATGTGTGTATCTGTTTACTGTACCCCCTCTTTAAAAAAAAAATTGCAGTAAATTATACTCATTGATCTGCATCTTTTTTCACTATTATATCTTCAGGATTATGACCTATAACTATATAAGAAGCTTTCTAATAAAAAGAAAAATGCCATATAGTGTTCCTATGAAAGGATGTATCACTTATTTTTTTGGTTAGTCCCCTAATGGATGGCTATTTGAGTTACTTCTTATCCTTTGTTAGTATAAATAATGCTAGAAGAGTTAAAAGATGTTAGGGTTTTATATTCAAAAATAAATGTTAAGTCATAATAGAGACTTGTAATAGTTATAGTAATATCTTAGATCTGCATAACTTATTCACAAATATCTTATTTGAGCCTTACTTTGATCTTGTGAGATAAGCACAGAATTTTACAAAGAAGAACAAATTTGAGTAACAGAGATAGAGTAGAAGAATCAAGGTCTTTTGACTCTGATTTGAGTTATCTTTCCACTTTTTCCTCCTGTTGTGGGATATAGGGGAATGGTGGGAGAATAAGATGAAGTAGAGAGAGAGGGATGCGCCTGTCATTCTAGAAGTCAGGATCCCATTTGCTGGGAGAGAAGAGCTGGCATTCCGCCTGTGACAGAGATAGAGAGGTTTTAAGCCTTGGCAGAACATGCTGGGTTGCCTGCCCTCTTGGAGTATAGTAGTATAGCAGTCCAAGGCGTGGTGCTTCTTGAGAAACTGGATACTTCAGAGTGCCCTGGAATAGACGGGGGGCAAAACTGAGCATTCGAAATCTGGTAAGAGAATGCATGTAGCCTAAGGCAATGAAACAGAAATAGGCAATAGAGAAAACAGGATTTTCTAGAGGCCCCAGAATCAGGGAGGACATGATAACATTGCTAGGAGATGACTGTAAGGTCAAGCCAGTTTTGACTGCAAGACTGATTTCTGGGAGGGAGTCTTTTTCCTCTGGGGACCAGATGAGATTATAAAAGGGTAGGTAAGTCATCTCACAAGTGGACTAGAGAGAATGAGGCTGAAAAGGCTTTCATTATAGAGTTAATACTATTTGGAAACCTGAGTATAGGCATGTTCACCAGCCTTCCATCATAATTACCATATGCTAAGTGCCTACTGTGTTCTAGATACTACACATAATTTCATGCTTAACCTCTTGACAGTTTTGCAAAGAGGCTGTTGTTATACCTAGTTTCCATAAAGGAAATTGAGGTTCAGTTGTGTAACTTTTTCAAGGTCACGTATCTTTTAAGCGGTAGAGCTGAGATTTATAAGTAGGTCAGTATGACTCCAAGGCTCTTGATCTTTCCATTATGCCAGGTGTTAGGCACCCAAATTGAACACTGAAATTAAAAATAATCAGAATTCTATTACTGTCATTGTAACAGTGTTAATGTATAACCAGACAGCTTGCCTGTTTTGCATGAGCTGGGCTGGAGGAGTAGAAGGAATGCTAAGGAAAATGACTGGCAATGTTAACAGCTGGCCAGACTCACTCTAAATATGCTTATAATGTACATGAAAGTAGTGCACTCACCATGCATATTCAGCTTTATCATATAATCGCCACTGTCCCCTTCCCTCATTAGACTGCAGTTCCTGAAGTCCTTCTATAGGGATTATACAGCTGCCACTGAAGACCATCCTGGAGAAGGAAATGGCAACCCTCTCCAGTATTCTTGCCTGGTGAATTCCATGGACAGGGAAACTTGGCAGGCTACAGTCCATGGGGTCGCAGAGTCGGACATGACTGAGCGACTAACATACACACACACACATGCTGAAGACCATAGCTGGTGGTAGGTAGCCAGGACCTGGAATGTTTTGTTGGGGAGAAATATCTGGGGGATCTACTATATACACAGAATGTATGCCATAATCATGAATTCTTCTCCTTTGTGAAGTTTGAGGAGGTAAGAATTTCCTTGGCTTAACAAATTTTGGCTTGTAGGCTGAAGACTACTAGATTTTATTATTATTAATTCCTTAGCATTATCCTGTAAAATATTGGAGAATAATTATTGGATAATACTTTTGATGTACTTCCAAGGACCACTGAAGGGGATGTTAGTATGGGAGGTTGACATTATGGTGAAGTAATCACTGGGAAGCTGTGATTCAGCATTAGTCACTGGCTTCTGTGCTTGGTTGCCCTCAGCCGTCTCTTGCTTTAATTGTGGTGAGTCTCTGACATTTGATTACACAACTACCAAAGAGGCTGACCTTAGTGATAACCCAGTCACATTTCCAGATAGTTAAAATATTCAGGAAAAAAATTACTCATCTGTACCAGCTAGTGGTATTAGTTCTTCTCTGGGGAAATATTAGCATGGTTTCTAGGTTGTGCCCAATAATATGACAAAGATGAATGACCGTTTAAGGAAAAATGGCTATTTACACTTTTTATTAGTGTTCTTGAAAAGTGGAGACATGACAGAATGTGCTTTCTGGACATACTCATTTTAGTATTTAATATGAGATCAGTTTTATATCTCTTTCATTGACTTTTTAAAATTTAAAATTTTTTATTTTAACACCAAAAATATTCTGTATTGGGGGTATAGCTGATTAACAGTGTTGTAATAGTTTCAGGTGAGCAGTGAAGGGACTCAGCCATACATATACATGTATCCATTCTCCCCCAAACCCCCCTCCCATCCAGGCTGGCACATAACACTGAGCAGAGTTCCATGTGCTACACAATAGGTTTTTGTTGGTTATCCATTTTAGATATAGCAGTGTGTACATGACCCTCCCAAAGTTCTTAACTATTCCTTCCCCACCAGCACCATGAGTTTGTTTTCTAAGTTTATGAGTCTCTTTCCATTTTGTAAGTTCATGTGTATCATTTCTTTTTAGATTCCACATATAAGGGATGCCATATGATATTTCTCCTTCTCTGTCTGACTTACTTCACTCAGTTTGACAGTCTCTACATCCATCCATGTTGCTGCAAATGGCCTTATTTCATTCTTTTTAATGGCTGAGTAGTATTCCTCTGTGTGTGTGTGTGTGTGTGTGTGTGTGTGTGTGTGTGTGTGTATACACATCACATCTTTATCCATTCCTCTGTTGTTGGACATTCAGGTTGTTTCCATGTCTTGGCTATTATAAATAGTGCTGCAGTGAACACTGGTGTGCTTGTATCTCTTTGGTCTTTGACTTTTAAAACTGCCATTGGGTTGGGTTCATTTTACCTGTTTTTACCTAATTTCTTACCATTCTGTGTTTCCTTACTGCCTCATGAAATTGCCACGTTTAATCTTATTTAAAAAATAATCTCTTATCTGGAATGCCTATTCTTTTCTTCTCCTCCCTTTCTTTTCTTTTTTTCCTTCTTCTATTCATCCACAAATATTTAAATGTTCCAGGCTGTGTGCCAGGCTTATGGTATGTACCCTCATGACTTTACAGTATATCCTAGTATTACTGATCCTGCTATGCCCTGCCTTCAAGGTTCAGCTCTTCTTCATCATCATTTTCTTTGACTTTCTTTAACCTCTGCCGACCCATCCCTTTTATGAACTCCAGTGCTTTAAATCTGCTTTACACAATTCAGTGCTTATAAACATACATTAGTCTAGTTTTACCAGAGTGTCAGTTCAGTTCAGTTCAGTCGTGTCTGACTCTTTGCTTCCCCATGGACTGCAGCACGCCAGGCCTCCCTGTCCATCACCAACTCCCGGAGTTTACGCAAACTCATGTCCGTTGAGTCGGTGATGCCATCCAACCATCTCATCCTCTGTTGTCCCCTTTTCCTCCCGCCTTCAATCTTTCCCAGCATCAGGGTCTTTTCAAATGAGTCAGTTCTTCGCATGAGGTGGCCAAAGTATTGGAGTTTCAGCTTCAGCATGAGTCGGTGATGCCATCCAACCATCTCATCCTCTGTTGTCCCCTTTTCCTCCCGCCTTCAATCTTTCCCAGCATCAGGGTCTTTTCAGATGAGGCAGTTCTTCGCATGGGGTGTCCAAAGTATTGGAGTTTCAGCTTCAGCATCAGTCCTTCCAATGAATATTCAGGACTGATTTCCTTTAGGATGGACTGGTTGAATCTCCTTGCAGTCCACGGGACTCTCAACAGTCTTCTCCACAAGAATCTTCTTCATGTAAATCCATGGCTAATTCATGTCAATGTATGACAAAACCACTACAATATTGTAAAGTAATTAGCCTCCATAAAAATAAATGAAAAAAAAACAATAGAAAAAAAAAAGAATCTTCTTGTGGAGACTCTCACAAGAGTCGTCTTCTTGTGCTTTTGAACACCACAGTTCAAAAGCATCAATTCTCTGGCACTCAGCTTTCTTTATAGTTCAACTCTCACATCCATACATGAATACTGGAAAAACAATAGCTTTGACTAGATGGACCTTTGTTGGCAAAGTAATGTCTCTGCTTTTTAACATGCTGTCTAGGTTGGTCATAACTTTTCTTCCAAGTTATGGAAGAGAGCAAGCATCTTTTAATTTCATGGCTGCAATCACCATCTGCAGTGATTTTGGAGCCCAAAAAGATAAAGTCTGTCACTGTTTCCACTGTTTCTTCATCTATTTGCCATGAAGTAATGGGACAGGATGCCATGATTTTAGTTTTCTGAATGTTGAGATTTAAGCCAAGCCTTTTCACTCTCTTTTCACTTTCATCAAGAGGCTCTTTAGTTCTTCTTTGCTTTTTGCCATAAGGGTGTTGTCATCTGCATGTCTGAGGTTATTGATATTTCTCCCAGCGATCTTGATTTGAGCTTGTGCTTCATCCAGCCCTGCATTTCTCATGATGTACTCTGCATATAAGTTAAACAAGCAACGTGACAATATACAGCCTTGACATACTCCTTTCCCTGTTTGGAACCAGCCTGTTGTTCCATGTCCAATTCTAATTGTTGCTTCCTGACCTGCATATAGATTTCTCAAGAGGCAGGTAAGGTGATCTGGTATTCCCATCTTTTTAAGAATTTTCCAGAGTTTGTTGTGATCCACACAAAGGCTTTGGCATAGTCAATAAAGCATAAGCAGATGTTTTTCTGTAACTCTCTTGCTTTTTTGAAAATCCAACAGATATTGGCAATTTGATCTCTGGTTCCTCTGCCTTTTCTAAATCCAGCTTGAACATCTGGAAGTTCTTGGTTCACGTACTGTTGAAGCCTGGCTTGGAGAATTTTGAGCATTACTTTTTTTTTTTAGTTCTACCGCTTTATTGCTACCAACCCATCTCCCTCCTCCCTTGTGCACACATGCTCAGTCTTGTAATCCCATGGACTGCAGCCCGCCAGGCTCCTCTGTCCATGGACTTTTCCAGGCAAGAATACTGGAGTGGGTTGCCATTTCCTTCTCCTGTGCATTACTTTACTAGTGTGTGAGATGAGTGCAGTTGTGTGGTAGTTTGAACATTCTTTGGCATTGCCTTTCTTAGGGATTGGAATGAAAACGGACCTTTTCCAGTTCTGTGGCCACTGCTGAGTTTTCCAAATTTGCTGGCATATTGAGTGCAGTACTTTCACAGCATCATCTTTTAGGATTTAAAATAGCTCAGCTGGAGTTCCATCACCTCCACTAGCTTTGTTCATAGTGAGTGATCACACCTTTGTGATTATCTGGGTCATGAAGATCTTTTTTGTATAGTTCTTCTGTGTATTCTTGTCATTTCTTAATATCTTCTGCTTTTGTTAGGTCATACCATTTCTGTCTTTTTTTTGTGCCCACCTTTGCACCAAATGTTCCCTTGGTATCTCTAATTTTCTTGAAGAGATCTCTAGTCTTTCCCATTCTATTGTTTTCCTCTATTTCTTTGCACTGATCACTGAGGAAGGCTTTCTTTCTTTCTTTCTTTTTTNTGGTATCTCTAATTTTCTTGAAGAGATCTCTAGTCTTTCCCATTCTATTGTTTTCCTCTATTTCTTTGCACTGATCACTGAGGAAGGCTTTCTTTCTTTCTTTCTTTTTTTTCTTTTCTTTTTTCTTCTTATCTCTCCTTGCTATTCTTTGGAACTGTGCATTCAAATGGGTGTATCTTTCCTTTTCTGCTTTGCCTTTAGCTGCTCCTCTTTTCACAGCTATTTGTAAGGCCTTCTCAGACAACCATTTTGGCTTTTTAAATTTCTTTTTCTTGGGGATGGTATTGATCCCTGTGTCCCGTACAATGTCATGAACCTCCATCCATAGTTCTTAGGTATTCTGTTTATCAGCTCTAATCCCTTGCATCTATTTGTCACTTCCACTGTATAATCATAAGAGATTTGATTTAGGTCATACCTGAATGCTCTAGTGGTTTTCCCTACTTTGTTCAGTTTAAGTCTGTATTTGGCAATAAGGAGTTCATGGTCTGAGCCATGGTCACCTCCTGGTCTTGTTTTTGCTGACTGTATAGAGCTTCTCCATTGTTGGCTGCAAAGAATATAATCAGTCTGATTTTGGTGTTGACCACCTGGTGATGTCCATGTGTATGTAGAGTCATCTCTTGCGTTGTTGGAAGAGGGTGTTTGCTATGACCAGTGCGTTCTCTTGGCAGAACTCTGTTAGCCTTTACACTGCTTCATTCTGTACTCCAAGGCCAAATCTGCCTGTTACTCCAGGTATTTCTTGACTCCATACTTTTGTAAGTAGGTTTTTTGCAAGTGTTGCAAGTGTAAGTTCCTCCAAGACAGAGACTGCTATGTGATTTTTGTTCTCCACAATGCTAAGTCCAACATGTGGATAATAAACGGGTTTTGATTCCTCAGTCCCTGCTGAATGTCCAAGTTACTAGCTCTTGGAGTTTAGAAGTAGTTATAAAGATTATGCTTTTTTCCCCCTTTTGTCTCCCAGTTGTTCACCTGACATTTGCTATCTGCTTGTATTAACCTATAGTCATAATGAATGAAAATAACCCCAATGATTCACTGTCTGCATTTATATTATTTTCTAGTGAAGAGTTTGTTTTTGAGCTGATTATTATATAGCGTCTTACTTGGTTCCCTTTGTGGCTAGTGAGTGATGAATTTCATGGCTAAGGAAGAGAGTCAACCCATTGTTAATCTGTCTGCATTGTGCCTATAATTTTCTGGGTTTAAGTGCCCTACCTACTGTGCCTTAGTTCACGAAGTAACTTAATAGTAATTTTAAGTAAGTTACTTAACTTAATAGTAACTTAACTTAAAATGGGAAGCTGACAATGTAAGAACTTAAAATTTAAAATTGAGCTCCTGAGAGAGTCATAGAAACGGAAAAGTGATCATTTAATGGGGCCTGCGTTATTTACTTTTATATGACAGAGGAGTTCAAAACTTTTTCGATGGCAGAAACCAACACAGTATTGTAAAGCAATTATCCTTCAATTAAAAATAAATAAATTAAAATTTTTAAAAAATTTCCTTGGAGTAGTAAATGAAATGTGGCAGCTTACCTGTGGAGGAAGGAGGCTGTGCCATTGGATTAAATGTTTTTCTGAATGTGCTGAAAGCTCTGAGGTAATGACAGACTTCAGTATAAGGTGTGAGAAGGGCTGTTTTCTTGATTGAGAAGGGGAGTAATGGGTACTGGGAGATGGAAATGTCCTACTTCATACACCTAAAAATTAAGAGAGTTCAGCTGTGAAATTGAAGGAAGGCCAAAGAGCAGGAGAGAAGAAACCATTTTTTCTCCTGAAGTAATCTGAGATCCTGACTTAAACAGACCATTTGATTAAAAAATTGTATGAAAAGTACTTCAAATGAGTTTCAGTTGTTTATGTAATGTTTTATTATTTGATATTGGGTACATAGAAGTACATTATGTTGTTTTTATAACTTGTGCCTGAAATATTTATTGATTATTGTGTGACAATAAAGAGATTTGAACATTGACTAGATATTTGATGCTAAGAAATTATTATCTTTGTAGGTAGAATAGTAATGTTATAGTTGTATTCAAAAGACAAAGGTACTTACCTTTTAGAAATTTGTACTGATGTAATGTGGATGACATTACATGATGTCTGGGATCTGCTGGTGAGAGGAATAAAAAAGAGGTCAGGAGTATAGGTACAAATGGCTGTGTGTTTATAATTGTTGTAGCTGTCTGATGGGTACAGGAGGGTCACTATGCAGTTTCTTTCTTTCTACTTATGTGTGTATTTGAAAATTCCCATTATAATGACAACTAAAAAAAAAAAGCAAAAAATTGAAATCCACAAAAAACCAAAAAGTCTAACAATTTAGACATAGAATTGTCAAACCTACACTTCTGGGCTTCCCTCATTGCTCAGTCAGTAAAGAATCTGCCTACAGTGCCGGAGACCTGGGTTCAACTCCTGGGTTTGGTAAGATTCCCTGGAGAAGGAAATGGCAATCCACTCCAGTATCCTTGCTGGATACTGGACAGAGGAGTATCCTGCATCCATGGACAGAGGAGCCTGGTGCGCTGCAGTCCATGGAGTCGCAGAGTCGCACATGACTGAGCGAGTCAGCCACCACCACAACCACACTTCTGCTTTTTTCCAACTTAACTCTGGATGAGTTCAGTTCAGTTCTGTTGCTCAATCGTGTCTGACTCTTTGAAACCCCATGGACTGCAGCACGCCATTCTTCCCTGTCCATCACCAACTCCAGAGTTCATTCAAACTCATGTCCATTGAGTCGGTGATGCCATCCAACCATCTTATCCTCTGTTGTCCCCTTCTCCTCCTGCCTTCAATCTTTTCCAGCATCAGGGTGATGCTTTCCAATGAGTCAGTTCTTTGCATCAGGTGGCCAGAGTATTGCAGCTTCAGCAACAATCCTTCCAATGAATATTCAAGACTGATTTCCTTCCGGATGGACTGGGTTTGATCTTGCAGTCCAATGGACTCTCAAGAGTCTTCTCCAACACCACAATTCAAAAGCATCAGTTCTCTGGCACTCATCTTTCTTTACAGTCCAACTCTCACATCCATACATGAATACTGGAAAAACCATAGCTTTGACTAGACAGACCTTTGTTGGCACAGTAATGTTTCTGCTTTTTAATATGCTTTTTAGGTTGGTCATAGCTTTTTTCCCAAGGAGCAAGTGTCTTTTAATTTCATGGCTGCAACCACCATCTGCAGAGATTTTGGAGCCCAAGAAAATAAAGTCTGTCAGTGTTTCCATTGTTTCTCCATCTATTTGCCATGGAGTAATGGGACTGGATGCCATGATCTTAGTTTTTTGAATGTTGAGATTTAAGACAGCTTTTTCACTCCCCTCTTTTACTTTCATCAAGAGTCTCTTTAGTTCTTCACTTTCTGCTATGTGGGTGGTGTCATCTGCATATCTGAGGTTATTGATATTTCTCCCAGCAATCTTGATTCCAGCTTATGCTTCATCCAGCTCAGCATTTTGCATGATGTATTCTACATATAAGTTAAATAAGCAGGGTGACAATATACAGCCTTGATGTACTCCTTTTCCAATTTGGAGCCAGTCCATTGTTCAATGTCTGGTTCTAACTGTTACTTCATCCAGCTCAGCATTTTGCATGATGTATTCTACATATAAGTTAAATAAGCAGGGTGACAATATACAGCCTTGATGTACTCCTTTCCCAATTTGGAACCAGTCCATTGTTCAATGTCTGGTTCTAACTGTTGCTTTTTTTTTTCTTAATTTTTAAAAATTAATTATTTTTTACTGAAGGATAATTGCTTTACAGAATTTTGCTGTTTTCTGTCAAACCTCAACATAAATCAGCCATCAGTTCAGTTCAGTTCATAGGTATACATATATCCCCTCCCTTTTGAAACTCCCTCCCATCTCCCTCCCCACCCCACCCCTCTAGGTTGATACAGAGCCCCGTTTGAGTTTCCTGAGCCATTAGGCAAATACCCGTTGGCTGTCTATTTTACATATGGCAATGTAAGTTTCCATGTTACTCTTTACATACATCTCACCCTCTCCTCCCCTCTCCCCATGTCCAAAAGTCTGCCTCATAATCTGCATACAGATTTCTCAGGAGGCAGGTAAGGTGGTCTGGTATTCCCATCTCTTTAAGAATTTTCCTGAGTTTGTTGTGATCCACAGAGTCAAAGGCTTTGGCGTAGTCAATGAAGCGGAAGTAGATGTTTTTCTGGAATTTCTTGCTTTTTCTATGATCCAACAGATGTTGGCAACTTGATCTCTGTTCCTCTGCCTTTTCTAAATTCAGCTTGAACATCTGGAAGTTCTTGGTTCACGTATTGTTGAAGCCTCTCTTGGAGAATTTTGAGCATTACTAACTCACTCCAGATAGAGCAAGTAAAAGTATAGATTATTGCTGATGTTGCCGAAATGGAGTTTGGTTTAAGATTTTTATCGCCTCAAGTTGGGAAACTGTCTGTAACACAGTATTACTGAGAAAGCAACAAGCTCTACTTTCGTCTTCCAAACAGTGGGGTACCTTACAGCAGGATGGAAGTCATACTGTCCATCTGTAAGTCTCTTCCTTTCTGTAGGTGAAGAAATACTGATTTAAAAAGCAGTACAAAATTAGAGAACAGGAAAATATGGTTTAAAATTAAATGCCATATTTTATAGTTCTGAGCAAGCGCTGGAAATTAAGAAAAAGGAGTGAACGTTTTTGGCTATGGATAAAAAGTTTTTTTTACCATTAAAAAAGTGAACTATAATTGATTTATAATATTGTGCACCTTGGTTTCAGGTGTATAGCACAGCAATTCACCTATACATATGTATGTATATATATGTGTGTGTATATTACATGTGTGTGTATATATATATTCCTTAGATACTCTTCCTTATAGGTTATTACAAAATACTGAGTATAGTTCCCTAAACTATACAGTAGGTCCTTGTTGGTTTTCTGTCTTATATATTCTAGAATGTATATGTTAATCTTAGCCTCCTAATTTATCCTCCCACTAGGGATAAGCAGTTTTTATTAGGCCAGTGACTTTGGGATCACCTTTAAACACAGTAGAGGAGTTGGATTGCTGACAGAAGTCCGGGGCACAGTGTGTCCAGGGAGGGAAGATACTATGTTTGGGGAAAGTAAGTGAATTTGGATTGATATATGAGATGTTTTAGATAGATGAGATTGGGTCACTTTCATGAAGGACGTGACTTTTTAGTTGAGGCAGTTGGGCTTGCTTTTATAGTCTGTAGGGAGCCATTTTGCGATGTGGAGCCATTTTTGACTCTTAATATACCTAGTTATTAATTTGGTTTGATGATAATGTAGATATTCTTAGTTGCATGCCTTTGCATGGAGAATATAACTTTCCTGTATAATTTAAATTTGTTTTCACATAAATTCTTTATTTTGCAGTGTCTCAAAAGGGTTATTCAGAGACCATAATTTATTCTGTTTCAAAAAGGGGAGGGACACTGAGATGTTCAGAGGTTTTGTCAGTCAGTTGCTCAGCCTTGCGGCCCCATGGACTGCAGCATGCCAGGCTTCCCTGTCTTTCACTGTCTCCCAGGGCCAGTGACCTTAATCAAGTGCAACACAGTGGCAGATCTGGGTTCGGATCAGTGTCTTGGGTGTTGAACTCCTTTTGCTCCCTTTACTTTATATTAAAGGTAATCGTTTTCAGTTGTGTAGTGCTCAGTGTTGACTTTAGGCATTTTCTGCATTTTCTTGCCCAGCCTTCTTGGGAGTATATATTTTTCTTTGCCCTTATTATTATTTTTTTTCTCATTTTCTCTTTTTCTTTCTTTATTTTTTCAGCCACATCCCACATCCCGCATCCGGAATCCTAGTTTCCCAAGCAGGGATTAGACCAGTGCTCCAGTGTGCACTTTGGCAGCACGTATACTAAAACCAGTGCTCCCTGCAGTAGAAATGTGGGGTCCTAACCAGGGGGCCTCCAGGAGATTCCCAACCCTTAATTTTTAAATGTGGTTCTTGCCAGGTTTTTCAGCAGATCAGGACCCAGCACTTTGTTTATCCCTGTCCTGTCTGTTTGGTGGGAGTTGTTTCGTTACCATTGATAAAGCTGCCCACTGTCATGTTATGCCCCTAACTCATGGTCTGATTGCTACCACTGTATCTTACTTCCCCACTGCCCTGCGGTTTATAAAATGGGATGATAATCCCAGCCTTTTCTGAGATTTTTTGTGTGTGTGTCAATGATCTGAAAGTATCGAGTGGAAAGTATTATAAACACCTTAGGAAACATGATAATTTTATAGATTTTTTTTCTCTCAAATAACATTTTAATATTCTTAACCAACTTGATTGATGTATAATTTGCATTCAGTAAAATTGAACTGTTTTTAAGTATATGATTTGCATTTGACATAAACTCACCCAAATAGTGGTCATATAATCAAGATGTAAGGACTTTTCTGTTATCCTCAGAAGTTCCTTTTGTGCCCTTTGCATTCATTCTCACCCTTCTTTAGCCCTAGAAACTCACTGATTTGCTGTCATCATAGCTTAGCGTTTCCTTTTCTGGACTCTTATGTTAGCAGTCTTATCCAGGATGTACTCTTCTTTCATTAGCATCCTGTGTTTAGCATCCTTCATTGTTGCTGCCTTTATCAGTAGTTTGTCGCTTTTTATTGCTGAGTAGTATGTGGGAGCACTGTTGCATTGTAAGGACTGTACGAGGATTTGTTTATGCACTTATTTGTATCTAACACTTGAATTGTTTGTAGTTTTTGGCTATTATCAATAAAGCTGCTATGAACTTGATGTGAGACTTTGGGTAGCCTTATATTTTATCCTCTTGGATAAACACCTTGGAGTGGAATGACTGGATCATATGGTTGGTAGGTGTGTGTTTAACTTTTTAAGAAACTGCCAAATTGTCTTCCAGAGTGGCTATACTATTTTACATTCTGTCCAGCAGTGTATGAGAGTTCTTGTTTCTCCTTATCCTCACCAACACCAGGATGATAAAGTTTTGGCCACTCCCGTACTAATTGTAGAGTGCCGTCTTGTGGTTATAATATACATTTTCCTAGTAACTAATGATATTGACCTCTTTTCATGTACTTACTTCCTAGCTGTTCATCTTCTTTGGTGAAGTGTAGTAATACTTGTTCAG